TGGGCTGCTGAATAAAATACGGTACCTTATTTTATGAAATTATGTAGTTTTTCTCTACTAAAGTATGAAATTATGTGTTAATATTGAATAACTGTTTTTTCTCACTAATGAGATTCAAGCATTTGTAATGCTTTTTTAATATAAAAATATACTACCTCTGATTCATAATACAAGAGCTAGTTGACTAATTTGAGTTAATTGAGAAAATTAGTTACGTTAGTTATTTATAATAAATACATATTTTCTTTCTTAAAATATTTCGTTAATCAAGTGTATTAGTTAAAATTATTATTATTACAAGGACTATTTTAAAAAAATAGATAAATACGAGAAACAAGAAGGATTATAGTCTTATATTTAAAATCAGAATAAAAATTCAATGAACTTTTATATTAAACACGGGAGATAGTATTAATTTTTCTTATCACTAAATAGGAAATTTTCAATTAACTGGTTGCCCATGCTAAAATAAATTTTTTTTTTTAAGGATAAATTGTTGTCTTACCCAGTTTTGATTTTTCAATACAGTATCTGCTAACCATAAGCGCATAATGAAAACTTCTCATTATATTAGTGTATATCTAAAATTTGCTGCATTATCCATTAAGTTATGCGAAAAATTGAAAAAATACAAACAGTATTTCTCCCACTATTCATTCTGCAAATGAATACGTTAGCATTTCAAAACCAAATATGATACTCCCATGCCAAAAATTAACTAAAACACGTAGATTAATACACGTAGAGTGAGAAGTTTTTCAATTACTAAAAAAAATATCACTATACGTTGCCAACTAAAACACCTCATTTAATATTTCTGTCAACATATATAATATCTAATTGATTTTTAAGGGATTTAATAAATGTTTGAAGAAGCAGTAATATCCAATTTTCCTTGCTGGTTATCACTAATATTATTAGTTATATTGTAATTCCATCAACACAGAGCACTTTTTTTTAAATGTAACACGAACTCTTTATTCAGGATGCATAGATAGATCTGCTTTCCTCTATTCTGGTAAGCGTACAAGGACGTAGAGGACTGTATAAAAGTAATGTTATTTATATAGCTTCCATCGTAATTGTTAATATAAATTTAAATTCTCTTTGATTTTGTCAAACAAGTTCGATCATATCAATAATTATTTTGTCCATGCGGTTCTGTAAATAATAATTAACAAAATGAAAACAACCGCCAGAAGTGACTGTTCACTATAAAAATAGAAAAATAAAGCTGTGTATATTATTATATCAAATATCACGTGGTCATATCTCATATTTTTTTATACGATTTTATGATTAAAAGCTTATATTTCAAAAATATGACATGATTATAAGTTTTAAATTTGAGGAGGGACGTGATCTATTTTATAAGTTTTAATTTGATAATATCTCAACATTCAAACTTAGTATATGTTTTTTTTAATTTTAATCATAATTATTTATCCTCCTTTTTTTTCAAATTATTTTTTATCATTCTTTTCATTTATTATAAGAACGTATTTAAAAATAAAAAATATATTTAATCTATTTGTTGGTTTTAATTTATTTTAAGTAATTTTTATTATATCTAAATTAATTATTTAAAGTTTATAATAAAATCTGGTCATGCAAAATGGGCACTCATATCAGTGCGAGGTATCAGTCACGCCTTTTTTTGTAATAACGCTGACAAGGGACATAAAGCAAGCTTTTATTAATGATTAATGAGTAGACAAAATCATCATCATCATCTAAAGTTTGACTAACGCTTTCATTCAAAATTACCTGGAGGCTTTAATATGTGGTATTGTTATTTAATCTGCTGACAGTTAATATATAAAACAGACATATAAATCACACGTTTAAGATAATAAAATTGTAAATAAAGCAAACTATCGTCGTGCGCGAACTGTGAAATTTATCTGAGACCAATTATTTTGAAATCCCACGCAGAGAGTTCAATTAAAAAAGTCACATGAATTCTACAAGTAACTCCAATTTCAGGTTATTCTAATATAAATGTATTTTCATATTTAATTATCATAATATCCTTATTTTATTTTCAAAAAGAACAAATCTTAAAGGGTATTTGGATGAAACCAAACCAGAGCTTGAAAAATAGATTTTGTAAAAAATAGATTTTGTCGAAAAGTAATTATGATAAAATGAGAGTGTTTAGATAGTTGTTATCAAAAACCCTTTTTATATATGTAAATTACTAAAAAAGACATAAGTTAATATGGTAATTACATAAAATATAAATTTTATAATATATTTTAATTTGAAGGAATAAAATTGTTAATAATATATTTTTTACCAACATAATTAATAATACATAAGATAATGTAATTAATAAATAATTAATATGTGTATACATATTTATAAGATATAAGATTAAATATGTTTATAAAAAAATAATTGAGGGGTGTTAAAGTCATATTATTATTAAAATTTACTCTAACAGGTACAATCATACTCTCCAATTTGAGCCAAAAGCAGAATGGATTCAGTTCTCCCAAAACCATGGTTTCAGATTATTTCTCCCTGTTTGGCTCACTTTTTTCTCAAACCGGGGTGTTTGGATGAAAACCAAACTATGATTTTAAAAGTGCTTTTATGATATATGAGGTAAATATGTGGAGGAGTTTGTCTCGTTTTGTTGAAAAACATTTTTAAGAAGAACTTTTGGATGCTTCCAAACACCCCCTTAATCTCTTTGCTGTAGACTGCAAGAACACCCGCCAGTGATTGGAATTCTGTGGATCGGTGTTGGTTAATTTTGAGGAAAAAAAAGTTAATTTGTCAATAATATTTTAATTTAAATTCTCATTTTAAATTGACCATTTAAAATACAGATACATTAAAATAAATCATAACGAGATCTTATAATTAAAATTGGAGATAATAATTTGTAGCCTTTTTTCTTGCCAACAACTCGTAGCCCTGTTGTAAGAATGTGATGAAATACGAATTAGCGGGTGAATTATTCTGTGTGATTAGTTTATAAGTATGTTGAAAATTTGAAACTTAATTACGTGGCTAATGAAAAATACAATGAGCATAGATAATATCTGATTTTAATTTTTGAAGCATGACATGGGTTATTTTTTTATTTTCTTTTTATTCTTAAGAAAGAAGAATAGATAAACATAGATACGTAGGTAATAAGTTGCAATTTTTAAGTACTTTTAATTTTGATTATAAAAAAAAGGTACTGAAATATGAAAGAGGGCAGAGTTGTTGGGCATGGAGTTGGAACCCTCGAGCATAACGCAAGGCCTTGTCTACATTAAGGTGATAGATGAGGCCCAGACCCTACGGCCATCTGAGGAAATTACGGTGTGTCCATTCTTTTTTGTCAAGAGGGGGGAAAAAATCAATTTGGCAGGTTCATGAAATATCTGAAAAGGAGTGGTTACTTACAGTATAAAGAAATAAGGTTTGAATTTTTATTAAAAAAAGTATTCATATTTAATACTTTTCCGATCCTAAAATACTTAGGACCGGATGAGTATCTGATAATTATTTTTAAGTATGACTGACTCTAATGAGAACATCTATGTACATAAAAAAGAATCCATCTAAAATACTAAAGACTCCCGTTTGTTATATGAAGCATAAAACAAGGTTTGAATTTTTACTGAAAAATATATTCATATTTAGTACTCTTTCGATCCTAAACATAAAACCCTTGTACACGTGTATAAAGATTTTATATTTAGGACTAGAGGAGTATCTAATTTTTTAAGTATGACTGACTCTAATGAGAAGATCTATGTACATAAAAAAGAATCCATCTAAAATACTAAAGACTCTCGTTTGTTATATGAAGCATAAGAAAATAAGACACATTTGTCATAAAAGAGAAGGAAAGTATGATTTCCGAATGGGATGACTTGTTGTAATTTATGTAGTTTATATTCATCTATACATATAAGACTAATTATTTTTACGTAATAGTAGTTTTTTTTAATCAATTTTTTGTGATTAATTCAATCATTGAAAAATACATGTTTATATCTAAATTTGTCTTCAAAGCCCATTTAATTTTAATCAGTTCACGTTTCATTTTAGAAATGATAAATTTTTCGAACGATTAAAGCGAATACAACTCATACATTTATTATATTCACTGAATATCGGACATACAACTTTATGTTTAAGTAAGATTTAAGATTTTTTTTTTAATGTTAATTGGATCAACGAGCTAAACATATTAAAATGAATAATTGTGAAATGACAGTAGTCTGAGTTTTTTGGCCTGAGATAGTAGTCTGAGTTACAAGTTAAGATAATGCGCATATATCACATCCACATAAAAGTTCTTACTCGTAATAACATGCTTATTATAAAATTTGTTTTGTAATATAAAACCCACGCTTTATAAAATGAGTTTTATATTTATAACTGAAATAATATTACATACGAAAAGTGACATTTGATAAAATAAAAAAAAAGTGACAATTTCGTATTCAGTCATCAAGTTATTGGAGGTGATGGTTGACTGAGGTGCTCGTTTGGATTAATTGTAGAAAAAACATTTTTATTTCATAACTGTGAGAAATCAAACGTAAAAATAATTATTTTGATAGGTCCCAAATATTCTGGAGTGTAGTGGCCAACTGTGTATGCCCTTGCGTGTTTTTTTTTTTCCCCGGGAAGCTCTTATGTGTATTAAATAATTTTTTTTTGCCTTCATGTGTATTACTACGTATTAAACAAATTAGAGATTATTATGATGATGATTTATTGTGCCATTACCAGATCGGGTGATCCTAGTGGCAAGATCATTGGCCGAAAAAAAAAAAAAGTAAAGAAAGAAAGATCGATTATTGGTTTATTGGCTTCCGGATTGTGATTCCAAAAAAAGCAAAAAAAAAAAAAAAAAAAGCAAAAAAGAGAACTTATGATCCATCAACGCGCTGCATAACGCGTGAGCCCATCACATTGATTGTGAAAGAGATCTACAAATGGCGGGAGCAACTTCATTAGCTAAACTTCCCGCACCAATCATCTCTTTGCATCACTCGCCCTCAAACTCAAAGCCGTTAGATAATCACAGTCCAATCCCTCCAAAGACTCCTCCGTACCAAAACCCACTATTAACCTTCCTCCTCCTTCCATTCCTTAAATTTGTTATCCCTTTCTTTCGTCAACACTCATTGTCGTTGCCTAGAAAAAGTTTCAATTTTAGGGTTTTGCGTATGATTCTTATTAGAAACTAGGGATTTTCCCCGGACGCGAAGAGTGTAGACGGGGGACAGAGTTGGTTTTTTCGTTTCAATGGAGGCCACGGCCGGTGCTGCTGCTGCTTCCACCGCTCGCGGGGCTTCTCTGCAGATGCCGGCTTCGTCCCGGAAGGAGTGGCGGGCCACTGGGGACCATCATTTAGCGCGGCACCCGGGAGATGAGGTAGTGATTTGATGGGAAAAATAATATGCATTGTCTTTCCTTTGTGGTTTAGGGAGGGTTAGCCAGACGAAAATGCACATTATTAAATTTTGAGCTTCCTCATCGATGGAGATCGAGAAAACAATAACGTGTCGTTCCTTTTCTTATGCTTGATCTCTGGGCTTTATAAATTTTCTTATTGATCACATTGGCGTTAGGGTTTCACATTTAATTTTTCATGCGTTCCTGTATATCGGTGATTCCTCGTTTCAAGCATAACTCGTTCGCAGTTTTTATTGGGGACGAGCGTGTGAATAGTTGATGTCACGTGACCCATGTCTCGAGTTTAGGTTGGTAATGTGGCCACTTGCTTGATTACACTTAAGGAATTTGCAGGTTTAAGCAAAATATCTTAGTTCAACTGACATTAGTTGTTATCAGGTTCAGTTGTGTGTTCCAAGGAGGCTCAAAAGAGCATTCAATTATCAGTTGTTGTTCTTTTAGTTTTCTTTCTTTTGGAGTGGTCAATTTTTTTTTAATTGTTTTAATGTTCGGTTTTGGGAAATCTTAGTCTGGGTGTCAAGTAGTCTCTGATTTATTGATAATTAGTTCACAACGACAAATGAAAATAGCAAACTTGACAATTAGGTTGTCATTCCCAAATTAGGCAGCATAGCTTCAGAATGTTTCAGTTTATTCTCCTGTCTATCATCTGGATATACCAAGAAAGATCTCCAGTCTAATGAGGCTACTATGAAATAGTTACTCATGGGTGGGGCAAGCTCTTCTATTTTGGTTCATGGTTTCTCATGATAACAAACTGAACCCAGGGTGTGTGAGGAACATTGAATGCTTCCTCATCATCCGAATTTGGTTGGCAAAGTACAAATTTTCAGCGGACCACTTTGCAGATGGAGGGAGCTAACGCTGAAGACTCTGAACTTTGTGTTTTATGTTGTTGGGATTTTAGTTTCAACGGTTTGATTGCTTTCAAATTTTCAGTATTTATGTTTCTATCTGGTTGAGGGGGGAGCTTTATTACTTTTGTTGTTCTGTTATTTGTTTGATTGTGAACTGGAAATCTGCTGGTGCTTGATGTGCAGGAACTAGCGCAAACAAAGATTGGGCAATTAGATGAGAGAACCATATATGAGGTAAGGATGACGTTGCTCAAAGCTTCCTTTTAGTATTGGGGATCTAGGAATGTGAAGATGATTTCCTTTTTTCAAGGTGCAGCAAGGGAGAGAGCCTGTTGATGTTGATTTTTGTTCAATAACAGTGGATGGAGCACTAGACAGTGATATCATGCAGCAACGGATTCACAATGTTGCTAGGCAAAGAGAGGAGCTAGGGCGTGTGGAGATTGAGTTACGAGCTCAAACAATTGCAAAATCTGGGATAATGGAAATGCAAAACAGCTTTGATGCTCAACTCAAGGAGCATGCTAACACTACCAGCAAGCTTCAGGTATATATTTTAATATTTATTTGTACTCTAAGGTTTGAATTGCTCTGTCAATAAAATGATTTTTAAAACTTAGAAAGAAGAACATGCTTGGATTGAGTTACATGTTAGAATTTTATGCTTGTGGCCAGTTGTTCATAGTGAGTCTGTTCTAAATTTATTGACTTGGTTTTGCAGGAGCAACTCCTTGATAGAGAGCACAGGATACATGAGCTGGAAGGGAAAATGGAAGTGAAAGACAGAGAGCTTCACGCCATTAAATTAGAAAATGAAGCGGTTTGTCAAACTCCTTTCTTTGTCATTGAGTTATTGATATATTATATGCTAATGTTTTTTTTTTCTATCTTGTCAGGCTTGGGCTAAACAAGATCTCCTTCGTGAACAAAACAAAGAGCTTGCAACTTTCAGGTTATTATTTATTTACGGACAGTACATGAGAGTGTATTCTCATATGGACATGCATTTTATTAGTGCTTTCATTTAGTTTGAGAAAAAGCAGTTTTCGTGTATTACTCTTGCTCAAATCCCCTAGCAGATTTTGTAACATGGTATGTTTGTTAGGCTTTGCATCCAAACTTATGAACATGTCTAAGCAAGTAAAGTTTTTTGCAGAAGGGAGCACGATCATACTGAAGCTGAAAGAGCTCAGCATGTTAAACAAATACATGATCTTCAAGAACATATTCAAGAAAAAGAGAGGCAGCTTATTGAGTTGCAGGAACAAGTATGCTTAGTTGACTCTGTTTTTTTCCTCCAATGGAAATGGTTGCTTTAATTTTTGTATTTTACCTTTTCCAGTGCCCATTTAAATATATATACTTGCATTCTGCTCATTAAAAATATCCAATACATCAACTATTCTCTTTGGAGGCTGACTTGATTCAGACAGACACGCACAGAAAATAATATTGTCATTTTGATTATTACAAGTCTTTGAACTGTGCCATTTTTTCATTAGTTGTCATTTTTAAAAGTTCTAGCTGATCTTTTTTTTATATTTGAAGTTTATAAGTTATACAGCTTCTAGGAGTTACATGGGCTGATGATTCTGTCTTTCAGCATAGGGTTGCTCAGGAGACCATTATGTATAAAGATGAACAGTTGAGAGAGGCCCAGGCTTGGATTGCAAGCGTTCGTGAGGTGGATGTTTTCCAGTCAACTACAAACCAGACATTACAAGCAGAACTGCGAGAACGTACGGAGCAATATAACCAACTCTGGATGGCTTTCCAAAGACAGGTTGACTCGCTATTCCCCCATTTCTCTAGCGGCTCTCTCTCTCTCTCTCTGTGTTAAGCTGAGTTTTTTTGTTGATTTTTTCCTTTTATCTCAGTTGCTAGCTGGTATTGTGTGAGGATTTACTTAGTATATGGTTTAGGTTTGATGATATACTGTGTGTATTTAAGCAACATATAACTCATTATGATGTTAGTCTTATGAGCTGTTGTATTGACAGTAAAATACATTTTCTTTTCTTCATCAGCTATATGAGCCCCTATCTTTTGATCCATTATTAGTATTGCATTTATTTATTTCAGTGTTGTCAATGACAACTTCCATGGCATAATGGCGTGGCAGCCTAGAGCCCATCTGCCTTCCATAAGACTTCCAAGGAGGGGCGGACTCTGGCAGTGCAATGATGCTTGTCATGTGATAACACTTTCTCTCATCAATCCCCATTTTTCTCAACTTCAGTCTAATGGCTTGTAATCATTGTAGGTAAATTTGTCTCTTGGTGCCCTATGCCAAAAGTAATTAGTGAATTAAATGGAAATAACATGCACTTAATGTTTAAGGCACGGCACTTGAGCTCCTGCTCTTTGAAACCATCTTAGAACCTCTTCAAATTTTCATTTTTTTCCTCTATTTTCTTTCAGTTTGTTTTATTTGTCTTGCAGACCCCTGTTCTTTCCTCCTCCCTCTTTACCAAAGTCTTCTGCCTTTTAGTGTCTGCCAAAGTTATATAATGTATACAGTTTGTTGTGCTTGGCTGCTTGCCCTTTGTATGTGTTTAGTTAACTTTCCTCTCTCTTTTCAAATGCCCATGTTATCCTCAACATGGAAGGGGGCTTACAGCTATTGGCTGCTATATACCTTTGACTACCCTTTTTTATTTATTAATTTTTTGTTATAATATGAGACTGTAGCTAGTGGTTGTTCACCCATGTTTACCTTTTTTCGCAATTGATGCTAGTTTGCAGAAATGGAGAGAGTTCATTTGCATGCTATACATCAGCTTCAGCTTGAGCTGGCTGATGCAAGAGAGAGGAGTGGAGCTTACAATGATGACTCAAGAATGTCCCAGACGAGTTCGAAACAGAGTGCATCTCAGTTTGTGCAGGATAACGGGAACCAATTTGATGTAAATGGAAGCAGCAGTTCAGGGGGAAATAACGGTCTCCTTCCAACCGAGAATTCAGAAAATGGTCTACCTTTAGCATCTACTGGAAATGCACCAGTCCAGGTAGGGTGCTTTAATTATTTATTTATTAGATTTTAGGTGAACGCTAAATTACATAATTTGCGGAATGCCCTTTTTTCCCAATTTTCAGAATGTCAAAGCATCACAGTCTATACTTCTAGACTTTTATGAGGGGGATGTGCCTTGAGCTCTTGAATATTGATAGCTTTTTGAGTGACTGTTATACAGAATGTCACTTGTGGATCTCCTCAGCTGTTGATTATGTTTCTGTGTGTTGGTTAAATGCTTAAATCGGCTACTCTTTACTGGGACATGTGATATGTTTATGCACGTTGATACATGTTTTTGATAGAGTCTGCTGTGTTTTAGTTTTCTTTCTTCTTTTTTGGTTACATGAGGGGCGGGATCGAACCCGCATATTTCCAACACACACACACTAGGTGCCACTCCGCCCAGAGGCGGTTGGCTGCTGTGTTTTAGTTTTCAGATGCTGTAATGGTTACACACCACGTGGCTTAGTTTTATACTCCACTTTTCAAATATTCTGTGGTTTTGCATGTAGATTAAGAAAGTTCATAAATAGCTCTATAACTTTAACAAAATGCAATTTTTTTGACTAAAATACCCTTATTTTGTTTAAGTAATGTCTCTCTTTCTTAATTAAATTGAAGGGTAAAATGGTCAAGACATAATTAATAATGTTTTGATTCTAAAGTGACCATCGTTTGGAAACAAAACCAAAGCCCCAACCGACATTTGTTTGAAAAGTAGGGAATACCTTTTGGTTTATTATATTAATGTGATATCCAAATTATTTTCACCCTGGGAGTTTAAAATATTTTGACTTCGTTTTGCTGTTCTAGACCGAACGTGTTCCTGGTGTTCATATTGCTCCATCATCTATGCTGGGGATGCCTCCATACATCCCACCTGGTCAAGTCACTGCAATGCATCCAGTTTTTATGCATCAACAAGCTGTCCCCCATTCAGTTGCATCACATGTACCTCAATCACAGGTTGGGCATTTTCACTCAGTACCTGCAATGTTACCTCTGCAACAGTGGCAGAACCAACAGGTATTGAAATTTGAAAGAAATGATCAATCTTTAATTTTCTTATTAATGCATGTTTTTAGAAGTTTACTTGCTTTCTTCAGGCCATCTCAGAGAGTTCACAGTTGTCCGAGAAAGATGATCATTCGTCATCCCACGATGATCAGAATTTAATGAGATCAGATGCTAAGTTTAATTATGAAATGTCTGTTAATGGACAAGCTCTTAATAGGGACTACTTGGATGTTCATATCCGTCAAGGGGAGGAGTCTCAAAATCTTATTTCATCATCTAATGTGCAAACACAGGTGGTAGTTTGGATTTTGTCGCTCATGGGGATCAAGTTACCCCCTTTATTTTGCATGTGAATAGTAATGTTGCTTAGCCTCAATTTATTTATGGTTTTTCAGTCTGTTGATGAACGACACCCAGAAGCTTCCCGACCAGATCAAAGCCTACAACAAGTTTCATCCCAGTTTCATGATGTCTTAAGATTGAATTCTTTTGATCTGAATAGTGAAACGAAGGTTTGTTGCTACCTTTGGCTTATATGAGCCCTTTTTAATATTATTATTATTATTATTAAACAAAGATTGGGTGGTCCTCTAATGCTGAACAGTCTAAGTTTGTTTTACTTCTTTCATAGAAGCTACAGACGGAAGTTACCACAAGTAAATGTTTGCAATGGTTTCCATTATCTGGTAGAAATGTTTAGACTGTTTGATGTCTGAGCCCAAAATTCTTCAACTCAGCCTTTGCGGAATATGTAGTCATTTTTCTTAAAGTACACTACATATTGTCGACTAGAAGTGACTGACAAATGGATTGCCATATTAACTTTAGTCTGACTTCTGTTACTGCTTAGACAATGAAGCTAGTGTTTGTTGAACAGGATGAGAATGTCACAGCTTCGGCAAATCATGGGGGAGGGGACCAAGTTTTGGTCCCAGAACAATCAAGCTCTGCTGCAAATGGATCATCTTACCGATTCCATTCAGTTAACCATAGTGAGATGACAAGAAGTTCTACTGCTACCATCTTGTCTGAAGCGTATGCCTCCACTAGGCATATGAATTCAACGATTGCTAGTTCTTTAGAGGCTGCTCCTCTTGACGAAAGGGGATTATTAGCGTGCATTGTTCGGACTATTCCGGCTGGTGGCAGAATTCGAATTAGTTCAACGGTCAGCATGTCTTAACTTTGAACTCTTGGATTCTATGTGAAATGTGACTTTTGCGTCCAATCTGATTCAGTTGATTTGCAATGGTGTTTCAAAAACAGCTTCCCAATAGACTTGGCAAGATGCTCGCGCCTTTACACTGGCATGATTATGAGAAAAAGTATGGAAGACTTGATGATTTTGTGGCCAACCATCCTCAAGTGAGTTTTACCCTTAAAGTTAGAAGTTTGGATGTATAAGCATCTGTAATTTATTTACTCTACAACCTCAGTGCTGTTCTTTTATTTCAGTTGTTTATGATTGAGGGTGATTACATTCAACTTCGTGAAGGAGCACAAAAAAAGGTAGCAGCCACTGCAGCTGTTGCCAAAGTTGCTGCAGCAGCTGCGGCTTCACCTCCTCATTCTTCGTATTTGCCTACTGTGGCTGTTACACCAATGGCTCAATCTCATCGCCTAAAGAAGGTCCCTTCAACTGATTCCAAAAATGTTAAAACTGACAGTACAGTTAAGGAATATGTAGTCATCTCTCAAACTACAACTGATGATTCCCTGAAGATTCCTGTAGTGCAGCATCAGCAGTCTAGTGGCATGAGCTTTAGTGTTGCTGGGGGCCTCTCAAATGTCAAAATTTTGAGTAAATCTAAGGATTCCCACAAAATGGATGGCTGTGAAAATAGGCCTTTGCAGTCGTCTGTACATTTAACTGTTGGCAATGGGGTTAGCCCAGACAGATCAAGTATGGGTAGTACCCAAAATACAGGATCAGCTAATGGAAGGCTAGCTTCAAGCTTTTCTGGGAAACAACAAACCAGGTATCCTTCTTTACTGGCTACTGTGTGGTGGTATCTGTCTTGTGCTATCCAGGTTTCTTTCCATGAAAATAAATACTAGAGTTGAATATTGTGCTGTTTGTTTTTGTCAGGGCAACTGCGGCTGCATTCCCTTCTCGAAGATAGTGATTCTTCTATTTCGATCTTTTGAAACATCTGGTTTGTTTTTTTTTCCTTGTTGGATCTTTTCAAACATGGTTTGTTTTTTATGATATCATGACTAAGCCCCTCTTTTAAGCGCATCAAGAAAACATTTGTCAGTGATTATTTCTAGAACATGTGGTGCTTGTGAGCAGTGTCTTGTAAATCCCGCACTCGCAATTATATCAGATTATTAATTTTGATATATCGACAGTTTGCATGCATGGATTTTAGAGCAACATAAACAAATATATGATTTTCAAGCTTTAAAATGTAATATTTGGCCCAAAAAAAGGCTTTAAAATGTAATAAAAAGAAAGAAAGAGGGTGCAGAGATGTTAAGAAATGTATACGTGTAAATGTGATCATATGGTATTCCCGACTCTATTTTGCCGCACCTTTCTGTCCTCTGAAACTGCACTGATATTGAATTGCTTTCACAACATCTGGGCTTCTTTTTGACAGGAAACGTGGAGATTCGGATCTTGGACTCTCGCTGAGCCCCCCTTCTGGTTTAAATTATTTTTCTGTTTATTTTAGTGTGCTTTCATCATTACCAAGGCTTCAGTGCCCGATCACCTGCAGCGTGCTCACAAAGCTAATAGCTGTTCGGCTTGTGAATGCTTTTAAAAAAACCAATCAATATAGTCAACGTTTTCGTTTGGGACGCATCCGCTGGCTTCCCCTTTTTGACGGGGCTAATCTTGAGTTTCGTAGATTCATTAAGATACTAATTCAACAGAATTATTTTTAGTGTACGAATGAGAATCGTAGCATCCATGAATAAACGAAAGGCTTATCAAGTTTAGTGTTGCACCTTATTTCGTTTTGACTGATTTTTTGCCTCGACAAATTGACTTGAAAATTGTAACATTTGTTTCTTAAACTACATTCTTTTCAGCATAAATGTTTATAGTTATAATAGGAGAAATTGAACTCCAGTCTTCATCTCTCTGATCATATTTCGCCCTTCTGTTGTCATCGAGTACTGACATAAATAAGTATTGTTTCAACTTGATTTTATATTCTCTTGTTTTTAGTTTGGCCTCTCAATTTTTAGGGTCATTTTTATCTTTTTCCATACAGTCCCTTGAAGATTATTTATGCTAATAAAAACAATCGAGGAATTATATAAATTCAAAAATAAAGTGCAGGATTAAAAAATTTAAACGTCAAATAAATAAATATCTGTTTGATGAAATTGGGATTGTACTAAATTAACTGAACAAGCGGTCCTTAATTGCCCAGCGAATGCAATCCAAACATTCGTTCTCCACAAAAGGTTTCAGTTGGGGTCCAAAGTCCAAAACCCAGAACATCAATGCGTATTAATTCCCATATCACTGAAACAGTAGTTGGTCGAGCCCATGTTCTCATCACCACTGGCCCATTAATAACTTGTGTTTTCACTAATAAATAGCCTTAAACCTCTGAGTTAAGGTAAAATCGAAAATTAAAATCGTGTATTTAAAAATCCCTTTGTAATCGTTGAGGGTGCGTTTTGCAATTCCGTGGCCAAGGAATACAGGAGCAAGGACTTTTGTCGGTATAAGCTACAAAAAAATATGAAGTGCTGATCACTTTTAAGTGGGCTTAGCAATCATATTAACAAAAAGTTCATGGTCAAGTATTTCCACTGTTACGACCAAGCGGTGACTTCCCGAGAGACCCACTGGAACTTGCATCTAAGCCAATATGGTTGATGTCTTGCTTCCCTGACAGATTGATACCAAGTCTAGGTTGGGGGCTCTGATTACTGCCACTGTTGGTGCCAGGAAACCTATTTACTTGCCCTTGGATGAGCTGCTGTTGCTGGAAGAAGGCTTGCTGTTTAAGTTGCTGCTGCTGATCATTCAATTGAAAAGGCAATTTTGAAGTTGAAAGGTCTGGTTGTTGCAGAGACATTGCTAGATGATGTTGCTGCTGATCTTTCATATCGAAAGGCAACATAGGAACATCTGGTTGTTGCTGAGACATTGCCATGTGAGGTTGCTGGCTGCTGCCCTGTCCTTGTTGCATAACAACCTGGGATGACTGCGGCACAGTTATTTTGGGAGTGAGCATAAGTTGCAATTTGAAACGGACTAGAATTGGGCAAAGTTTTGCCATGAAGTCATCCCATAAAAATATGAGATATGAATAAAAGTACGAGGCCTAATTATACTGATAAGTCAAGAAACATCTAGTTATCATGTTTTTGTTTGAACAACTGACAACCTAAAAGCTGCATCAAAGTTTTCTGCATTTAAACCAGGTTTGGCTAGAGCATGCACTGAGTGAGCTCAGATTACCTGAGAGGGTACGGGTGCTTGAGATTGAGTATCAGCGAGTTTGGCGAGAAAAGTCAAGTTCTGCTGAAGCTTGGCTTGATATCTGTATTAGGTAAAACGTTAAGAATCAGTAGAATGTGCTTATAAGGACATAACTGTAGTCTGCATAATAAGACAGCGTTAAGCCGTTTGAGAAATCATACTAAAAAGTAGTTTCTTTAGCGAAAATACTAAAACAAGAAGAAATGATGATCCCATAAAGAATTATATAATGCCTCTGATTGAATTGACCTTCATCAAACACGAAGAGATCATTCGAAACGAGAGGCACATGAACCCCCTCTTTATGCTAGAACTTCAAACAAATATATAGTGAATATATGAGAATTTTGATAACCGATTATTGCAGCCCCCAGAATTAGACATTAGAATACAAGGACGAAATAATACAAATTTGAAATTTCGGGAGTCAGATTCAGTGCAATGGTGCTAAAAATGAGTTTACTGATGAGGAGAGGAGAGAGAAAAGAGAGGGGCAGTCCCTGTTGATACAGTGGTCTAAACTATTCACTTCATTATTTACAATTGTATCTGATAAACAGATATATCTTTTCTTTAAACCAGGTTTTCTGAGCTTTCACTTCTCAGTGCACCTATTATCCCAGTCAAAAAGATCTAAAATGCTATACAAGGCAGGCGGTTAAGAACGGTGATAAACAAAAAGGGTACAGAAGATCTACAGTTGTATTTCATGGGCATTTTTCTTCTCGTATTCATGATTCAATAACAAGAGGTTATACCCTACCCAGCTATAATTCAAAGTTGGCTACATATCAAAGTTCTCCCTAAACGTTTTTTGCTGTCTAGATCCCAGTTGTGCCTTATTTGACTTGAACTTGTTATACAAAAGAAGTGCTTGATTGCCCTGTTTTTAAAAGGCAATCATACATATTAATTTATAAGCTGACACTCGACTTCAGATTTTATGTGCCAATGAACTCTAAACTGTTCATTGACACCATAAGATATGATATCTTGTGGATAAAAGCAATAGGGCCAATGTCGAGGGCTTCAAAGCAGATGGCCAAAGACTACGGAATGTTTTGCAAGAGAGTGCAGCAGAAATGCAAAGTTTCTCTCTACAAATATAAGCAACATCTAAAGTGATTATTGACTATAGCCACTTACTGGGCAACCTCAATGGACTTTCCCATGTTCTGACCCTCCATTATAGTTAGAATCAGCTGCTTATTTTCCTCCAGATACTGCACCAAGGAGAAAGAATCACGGAAGCAAGGATAAACAAGAGCCCACAGAGTCAAATTTTAAACTGAACCACATTCAGCGCTCATTCGCTCAATGGTTCTGTCAGAAGTTCACAATTTAAAAATCATTCCTCAGATATGCGAATACAAAATTTCTTTAGACGCACATTCCATTAACAACGTAGGTCCCTCTTGTGTTATCAAGAAAACACACATATCGGTAGGATCATTATTTGCCGGTAAGAAAACAGTCCAAGATTCCCATTGGGTGGCCAACTTGAAAAATGAGTTGTCATAACACTTCGAAATCAATCAATGACTTGAGCCTTTAAAAGGACTGTCGCAAAGAGTGTCGTCATTAAATCGCACAAACTTTAAATATCAAACGTGCTTCTCGCATTCATCTCAATGAAGACAGCAAATTTAGCAGAGGTGAAAAATAAAAACTGATGACTTACGAGACAAGGAAAGAGAATAAGTAATGTGAACGGCTTTCTCATTTCTAAACAGGTAAAGACACAAGTCACATCTCCAACAACGCCATCAGGACCATTGAACCAGTAAATAAATTGACTAAGAAACAATGAGATATGAATAATGAAACAGAACAATGATTCATGCTAATCGTTTGTACCTTTTGAATTTGCTCGGTGGTGAGGTAAGTGACAGAAGCCAAAGAAGGATCACCGTTGAGCATTTTCGAGTGCTCCTCCACACCCCAAAATCTGGAACCCTAACCCTAGTTCTTCGAGGGAATGAGCGTCAGTGTGCTCCTTTCTTAGACCCTCTATAGTCTCTGGCTCTCTCTGTGGTTGGTAAATTTTTGGGTATATATACTGGGGCTGGAGTCGACAAGAATGGCAAGTCCTCAACTACGGAGTTTTGTATATTGGTTTTTGGCCGCCAAAAACACGCTGTGGCATTGGACGCGTATCTAAATATTAATTCTTGCTTCTCTTATCCTGTAGAGAGAGAAAAAGGTTTTTTTTAATCCTATTTATAGATTAATGAAAATTTTTTTTTATAAATGTTTAATTTTATATTTTATTTATTTTTGTATTAACTTTGTTTACATATAAAGTATGATGTACATTAAATAGAGATAAAATTAAAAAATTGTTGAATTTTAAACAAAAGTTAATAAAATTTAAAAAAATTTTGTCTATGTAAAATATGTTAGAAATAACTTATAAATAGGACATGAGGAGTAATTCACAAAAAAAAATTTATATCCCATCATTTTTTTAAAAGAATGACATAAAAAATTTAAAAATTTATAAATACTAAATAAAGAATGTCAACAAAAATTTATTATCATTTGTAAATTCAGTGTTATCAACACCAAATAAAATCTTGTTACTAAACCTGATTTGAAATTTAGTAATTTTTCAGGTTTTTTTTTGTTATTCTCCCTTAAAAAATTAAAATATTTTATTCAGGTGTGTGTAATGCGGGTTCGATCCCGCCCTCCTGTAACTCAAAAAAAAAATTAAAATATTTTAATAAAAGTACTGCTTACAGAAGAAAAAACCGAGAATCAGCAGTTAATATGATTGTCAGAGTTGACCTAATGTATTTGGCTCTTGCCAGTTACAAGTGCAGATTTATTTTTCTCCAAAGTGGGAAACAACTTTAAGATTCAATTTTGTTTTAATTTCAAAGATTAAGTGTTAATGTTCATGATTTTTAAATAACAATTTTTTGTGAGTTTTAAATTTTTTATGCTATAAAAAATAATTTAAAAACAAGATTTAGGTTCCCTTTGATAGGCACTAATTAAAAGGAATCCTTTGCCATTGTCGAAGTTTGATAAGAGTAATATTTATCACGCACATGTTCATTGTGCTTTGTGCAGTACTCTTTTATTTCTTAATATCATTTTGCCTTGTTATTTTAAAAAAAAACACACACACACACACACAACCAAATCAACCGTACACATGCCATTTGAAAACATTAGTACCCTTTCGATCCTTAATATAAAACCCATTTAACTAATTTGATTAGATTAAGAAAGTTAGGTAAGTTAGTTAATTATAAGAAATATAACGTGTTTTTCTTAAAATACTATAATCATCTTTCTTAATACCCCATCTTCCTCTTCTACTTGATTATGGTTGAGGAAGTATCTATAGGGATAATTTAGAGAAAAATGATAAGTATGATAAATGGGTCTTATATTTAGGACCAAAACTAACTCAACAATTCGGTCTTATATTAAGGACCAGAGGAGTATTATTTTCTGTCTTTAATATAATAGTTAGTTAACTAATTTGATTATTTAAGTAGATTAAAAAATTTTGTTAAGTTATTTATAATAAATATATGCTCTTTTAACTAAAATACCTTTGTTAATCATATATATTAGCTAAAACTACAATTTGATGAAATTTTTTACATATGCAACTAATACAAGGACAACTTTGAAAAAAAATAAATATAAGAGATAAAGTAGATTAACGTTTTATATTTATAACTAAATTAAAAATCAAACTATTTTTATATTAAGAATATGAAGTAATATTTTGCTTGGTTTTGTTTTTCATTTCATTCCATTGCACCTGTCAAACTAACATTGCAGCTCAGTTTCTTTGTCCGGCAGTGTTTCTTTCCCCAAATAAAGTTGTTTTCCATTTTGCATGGATGTATCAAGTTTGATACTATTAGGTATTTACATATTACTTATTAATAAAGTCTTTATATTAACAACACAGTTTGAATTTATGACTCTGTGAGTTATAAATTAACTTCTTACTAACTAGATGAACTCCTGTCTTTATTTGGCTTTCTATGGGAGTGGAAGTTGTCAAGACTCAAGCCCAACCCTCGAGGCCCAATAATTTCCATGAGAAAGAGAGAAAAGACCTGGTGCGACATCGTTTTACAATAACAATGCCCGCGCGAGTTCCCCCTTGTTTTCGTATGGGAACAACGTAGCATCAGACTCAGGACAGCGTCAATGGCCTACTCACCGTACTCCCTCCTCCTCAAAATATATAGGTTAGCCTTTTATAAGAATTCTCTCCTTCATCAATTTTACTCCTGCAATTAATATGGGTAAAGTTGATTTTGTTTTTGTTTTTTTAAAAAATTAAAAAAGATTTAAGAAGTTGATCGCTCAAATGACTTGTATTTTGAATTGAAAAGAGCACGTTGGGAAGTACCAGATTCCGGTCTTCTACGGATCATTTAAGTCTTTTGTACATGTTTCATAGGGATCACGATACTGGGCAGGAATTGTTTAGTGTTTACCCAAGGGCAGGTAGCTATGTAATATATAGACTATTCCCTACTTCTAATTCACAAGTAGGGGCTGCTGACATTTGGTTTCCATTAATACAAATCACAAATGTTCAATTGCTGTCAAATGCCGTTTGTCTGAGATATGGTGCAATTTTGCAGAACATTTGTGCGTTAGATTGGTCCCTATGTTTTCGCTCTATCTATCTCCTCTGCCTCACCTGAAAGACCCAACTCTGGCAGCATCAATAACCTTTTTTTTTTAATATATATATATATTAACCAAAGAAACAAACACTAATAACAAGAAATTACAAGTGGGATAGAACTCGTGATCTCTTACTTACAAGAAAGCGTGGATACCTGCAAGGTTTTTGGCCAGCATCAATAACATTGATTCATGATATCTGCATTTTGTTTGCGGCTTTAGATTTTGTGTTCCTTCACTTGCAACTCCATCCTTTTTAGAGAAACCTTGCTGAATTGAAGCCTGATTTATTAAATGTGATTGATTTCTGATGTTACACGTTCATACACCAATAAATGCTTTGCTTAATTAGCCCCGCAATTAACAAATAATCGTGGGTACGTACGAGGAGGGTGTACCTAGTTATGTACAAGGGGGGACTAATCTGTGATTGATGTAATATGATGAATATGACATGCCTCGTTATGCTTGGAACAATTAATCTGTATATTTAAGGAATAATTAGTCTTCAGCAAATGTATGAATAAAGCAAGCTGATATGAATTCTTAGACGGGGATACATGATGATGACGATGATGAATTCTCAGTTGTACTTGGAACGCAGCGTTTATGGATTCAGAATGTTCCATGTGCTGGGAAGCGGCATTGGTAATGTGATGAGGAGGATGGCAAACTTGGAGTATGCATGTACAATTGAATAAAACAGGTGAGCAGTGATGATTGCCATGGGTGGGGGTGATGAGGGGTCAATTTGTGGGGCCCTGTGAGTTAGCAAGGGGGATGGAGATAACTGATAAGGGAGACGCGGTGGGGCCCAGCCCAACTGGTGAAAATGGTCCAAAAGCAGGCAGTAAATACAAGGGCGCGCTCATAATACCAGGTCCGAGACAGCTGGCCCTGGCCCTCATTTTCAGTTGTACTTTTTTGGTCTGACGTATCCTTTTATTAATCTAAAAACTAAATAACTAATATATAAGCTAGTTGTTTACATCAAATATGTATTAATTAGTTCTTTATATCTGGTCAAAAATATAATAAATATGTATTGGTTTTTCTGCAATACGATGTTTAACATGTGTGTTGAAACCATGGTTTAATTGAAAGCTCTTTTAATATGTGTAATCAATAAGATATTTATTATTAAAAGGTTAGAGTTTAGTAGAACGTATTAGTTTCTTACAATGTAACAAACCAAGATTTATATCTTTATTAGAAAATGTGTTCATATTTAATACTTGACAGTATCTAAAATATGATTATTTTTAATAGGAAAATATATGTGCATAGGAAAAAAACAAACAGAGATTTCTTGGGTTAAAAGATATAAATTTATGAAACAAAGTAAATTGAAATATATGATAGCAGATTTTTTGGGTTAAAAAAAATATAAATCTACAAAACAAAATAAATTGAAATCTTAAAAAATTGTGTAGCTCCTGTATTTGTGACAGGAGGTAGCAGCTTTTTGATTGTGTCGGATTTAAATATTTTTGGGCTCATTTATAGGTAACTCTGCTGAAAAAGTATTTTCACATTCATAGATTATTACAAATAAGGATATATGTGTGTGTATATATATATTTTTAAAAAAAGGAGAATATAACCTCAAAGGCTCAAATAAGAGGAGGGATCCGATATAGGACATTTAACTGGCGTCATCAATTTTTCATGACACCTTCAATGGAAGAATGATGATGGAGCAGAAATATGAAAAAATAATTAATAAATAAAAAGGGAGGAAAGGGAGGTTGCTTGGAGGGGAGATAAAAGTGGTCCCGGAGGGAAGAAGGGATAGTATTGAGGGGATAATGGTAATGAATAAGGGAAGGGAGAAGGAGATGTTTCCTGGGCGGTGGTAGGCTTGGGAATCAACCGACACATGATTTTGTGAGAGACAGTGAGACCCATCCCTCCCCTCCGCGGAGTATTTGAGAAGCCCCTCTCTCTCTCTCTGTTTTGTTTTAGCAAACAAAAGTATAAATAAGTTGGATACCGAAAACTCATCAGAGTACTTTCGGGTTCAAAAAAAACACTTGCATAAGTATTTACAATCATTTACTAATAAAATTCTCACATTAGTAGTGGGATTTAAACTCATAATTTTATAAGTTATGAGCTGATAAGATTTATAAGTTATGAGCTGATTTCTTATCAGTTGAGCCAACTTTTGTTAGTTTGTCTCTCCTTTTCTGATTTCTCCCCAACACCCGGCAGCCAGCCCGCTTGGATTCCTCTCCTTTCCCTTTCCTCCCCCAATTTTAATCATCATTAAGCATCCTCTAATCTCTGATTAATAGCTAAACCCTTCACACCCTCCTTTTTTGTGCTCCTTCAGCCAATGCTATCATATTTCCGTGAAACTTATTTTGATAAATAAAATGATTGAATCGTCCGAATCATTCGCTGAGGCTTGTCGGCATGATGGTGAACGGTCTCAACCACATCTGAATCATTTAGATCGGCTCTACGCCTTTTTTTTTCCATAAAAATTTTTTCTTTTTTTTGGGGGGTGGGTGGCAGAGGTGGGGGCGGGTTTGCAAGTACTGACGCAGACACTACAGTCTACAGCTGTCTTCACTCCCCTCCCCCATCCACACACGTTTCTGATTTCCCTTTCATTACTCCCTCCCTTTCCTTTCCCGCCTGTGTGCGTCCCCCCCTTTTAACATACCCTCCACTAGTCGCGTAAGATAGAATAAGAAAAATTTTCTGATTCCTATATATACATGTATATAAAATTTTTAGTATAAATATTATATTTTAAGATAAGTTAATATAATTTAACATTTTTCTTGTTTTGAGTGAAATATGCTGAGAATTTTTTTAAAAACAAGACTAAGTTTATACATATTGACCCGACCGCAAGAATATGAAAATAAAATAAAAATGATACTTTTTATTTATTTTAGTTTTGAATGTAAAATTTTTACCTTTTTTTATTTATAAATATTTATCAAATTATTCCTATGAATTACCTGTTTCTATCGGTAAGATGATAATTAAAGAGGTGTGTAATAGAAATCAATACATGTTTATTGAAGATAACTAATTTAATTAATTTTTTTAAAATATGTGAATTAATTATTTGACTTACATATATATGATACTACCTCCTGTCCTAATTATAAGAGTTAGCTGACTAATTTAAAAAGATTAAAAAAAAAGTTAAGTTAGTTATTTGCAATAAATATAAGTTTTTTTTTAAAAATATCTTTGCTAATCAAATGTATTGATTATAACTACCGTTATTAGAATGACTATATTAAAAAAAATATAAATATGAGAAACAAAATAAATTAAAATCTTATATTTAAAAGGATATTTCATGCGTGTCAAACTTAATTAGTAATTAATCTCTACTGATGGGTACCAGAACGGAAGGGCGTGGGTGTCTAAACTCGAAAGTAGCTCACCGTATCCAAGTAACAACTGAGGTAACTGTGAATTTCTCTTAATTTCATCTCGTCTTTGGCTCCAAAAAACAAAAAGAAAAAGAAAAAGTGAGGTCACTCTTAATTAATTTGATATTATGTGTTAATGATGTTTTAAACAAAGGGCAATTTTTTCCTTTTTGGATAGCCAGCGTGACGCTATGTAAAGGTGAAAAATATGAAAGGACAAAAGATAAATTGTTCACATTATATGATATTTTATTTTATAACTTAAAGCATTTTTAAGTTACTTTAGACTTGAGATAAATTTGTTGGGAGCATTAAGATTAAAATTCTCTTGAGATTTGAATATATGTTCTTCTCTTTGTAGGAGTAACACCGCTTAATATTTCAACCAATAATTTTTTAGTTCTTCACATTATATAATATTAAATACAATATAGTATCATTTGAATTTTTGAGGATTACAATTTGCTATAATTTTCATCCTTGATTTTTCTGTCGGCGAGCACTAGCTAGGGCGTTTCAAGTTGAGCGACGAAAGAGTGGGCCTATCACCTAAAATATAAATGTACCCCCATGAATATTTGAATTTTTTTCCCCAAATTTTAATATTACTTTCAATTATTAATATAAGATATTATTTGATTTTTATTTTGGACCTAAACGCAAGATCTTAATCTATTTTGTTTTTGATATTTATATATATATTTTTAAGATAATCATTTTAATAATAATCCTAATTAACACATTTAATTAGTAAGTATATTTTAAAAAAATAATACTTAATTATTATAAATAACTAACTAATTAGTTTTTATAATTAGAATTGGATGTGAGGTGGTATTTTATTGGCCCGTCCCACTCGGATCTCAACTGGTTGTTTGCAATAGTACAATCTCGAAGGACTCACGCGCCTGGCCATCCTGGGCACTCCGCGAGTTAGTTAGCGCGTGTACATCCTCGTGGCATCCACTCTCCTCACGGGCTTTTCTCAATTTTAGTTTGCTGCCTTCCTCTCATTCTTTTTCAACATCACTCCCTCCCTCAATCCTCATTCTTCCTTTTTTTTTTGGGGGACAAGAATGGAGAATATTTAAAAATTTTAAATTTAAATACTAATCTAATCAAAGTATGATTCATTAATAATAACGATGCGTTTGGCCCAAAAAAAAAAGCTAACTCCACACTAAAATGAGGCTGTTTTGGGTCCCCCCATTTTCCCCTCTCATCTTTGGTTAGTTGGGACAAAGCTGGGGAGAGAAATAGAAGGCCGATATGAAAGGCAATAGCATAAAATGGCATTCACTACTATTTAATACTATAATCATGCTATGCAATTTATAAGCCATGACCTTTTTTTGGCCAACTATTTATAATCATAGCCTACTGGCTACTACCAAGTTCAAATGAATTTTTAAGGAAACGGTGCCCCATAAAACGGGATGGAGATAAAAATCTCGATAGGGGTCAAAGTTATTATTTTCGTTTTGATCATTCCAGGAAAGTTCAGGACAGAGGTTAGTGTTTGGAATGAACTCAGCAACAACAATATAACTTCTCCAATATAAGCTTCAAATAATGTATTGCAGAAAAAGGCCAGTTCGAGCCGACGAATTAATATATCTGATTTGAGAAATGAAAAGCTGAGGGATACAACTCTGCCCTACTTTTGCACTCACGAATATTCCACAAATTGCTGTCGCCTGGTACATCCCCAATCAATCTCTGCATAACCCATTGTGTATTTTCATATTGTCCAATAGTTATTATACAAAGTATAGAGAGAGTAATGGTACTTGCTTTTGTAGCGACTGAAAAACAAGGGAAATCCGTGAAAGGCATTGAAGTCGAAGCGATATCGATATGGAAGGAATTTAGCAGTTGAAAACTTGAAACGAAAGCGTTCTCTTCAAGGTACCACAGAGTGCTCAAAATAAAAACCCCGTCCTTCTTCTCGTTTTCCCAGTAGGAGTGGTGGTATCTTGTAAATCCTGAGGCGGGTTTGGAAGAAAATGATAGATACCACAATAATGAAGAGAGAGAGGGAAAAAGATGGGGTCGCTTTCACTCATTTGTCTGCTAGTGTGTGGTGCGAATGTTGGAAGCATGGAAGCAAAGCAAAGGCCGAGAATGGCGGCAACCCCATCCCTCTATCATCGTAAATCCCCACTTCAACCCCCCCTTACGCTTTCTCCATTCCTTCCCCCAACCACTACCAATACCACAGAGAGAGAGAGAGAGAGAGAGAGAGGTTAGTCGTACCTGTTGTTATTACTTCTATTAGCACTGTTACAACAGGATAAGTTTGCTTGCCTCAAAAGTTGGGTCTAGCTAGCGCGTGGTTTCCTATTCGGGAAGACTTGTGCTGTGCGGGTGAATCTGGCGTTTAAGACAAGGAAGAGTGTTTGTTGAAGCATTCCCCTAGTGAGAGAGGAGCGAAAGATGATGAAGATGGTTCCTCATAATCACCACCACCGTCCATTATCGCCATTTGATAACGATTCCTGTGCGGAGGGTGGTGATGGCGATGGCCCCACCACAACTTGTTCTGTGTCTATGTATAATATGACTCATCATCATCATAATATAAACGATGCTGTTAGTGGAGTTTCTGCTTCTCCTGCTGTCTCTGCAGCAGCTATTCATAGTGGGGGTTCTGCCGTAAGAACTTTGCAGCCTTTTTACATTTCCACTCGCCCTGCCTTCAAATCCCCAGGTTTGTGTTCATTTCATTCTAGTCAATGCTCACTACTGCTTATTTATTTGGGGTTTCTTGCTGTATTCTTTAGTGGGAAAATAGAAGAAAGAGAAAAGAAAAGGATGAGAGTCAGAAGAGAGAGAAGAAGAGAGATGAGGTTGCTGCTGTGTCTGAGACTCTGAAAATGCGTTGTGTGTGTTTTGGTTGTGATTGTACATAGGGGCGATGGCGGCTTCATTAGGATTCCCTTTCACAAATGCGCAATGGAAGGAGCTTGAAAGGCAAGCTATGATTTACAAGTACATGATGGCTTCTGTTCCTGTTCCTCCTAATCTCCTCATCCCCACCGCTCTCACGTCTGCTTCTTGCTCTCCCTGTATGACCCTCTCTCTCTCACTATTTGTGTCTCTGTGTCTTGTTATTTCCTACATCTTTGCCCCTCTGTCTCTCCCTTTCGTTATGCTTTTTTCTGCTGTCTTCATTGTATGCAATATCTGAAAATTTTTATCTTTGCCCATTTTCTCTCTCCAAATTCAACTTCTTTCCACTCTTTTTCTTTCTTTATCTGGGACGGAAATGATGTCGGTTCAGTCTGTCTTATCAGCAACTTTTTTTTTTTGGCCTTTTCTCATGAGCAGTCGATAGTGGTTTTAATCTGCGGCTGTCTAGTAGCAGCACTGATCCAGAGCCGGGGAGGTGCAGGAGAACAGATGGGAAAAAATGGAGATGTTCCAGAGATGTGGCTCCTAACCACAAGTACTGTGAGCGTCATATGCACAGAGGTCGTCCCCGTTCAAGAAAGCCTGTGGAAGTTCAAACAACCGACGGCGCCACCACCGACAACAACCAGCAACAGAAAAGGGCTCGCCAAGATTTTCATCATCCTTATCCTACATCTGCAGTTACTGTGGCTGTTTCTCCTCCCACGATTACAAACTTTGGGTCTTCTTCTCTGTTTCTTCAGTCTCCCACCAGTCAGACATTTCACGAACCCTACCATTATGGTGTCAAAGCCTCCAGTTTTGGATCTTTGGCCTCTGTGCCATCTGATAGCCAACCCAGGTGGGCTTACTTGAACTTTTTACTTAGGTTACTGTTAAATATTTTTGGTGATAGGTTGATTGATTCTTGCTGCGGCCCGGGGTCTTGCCATCCGGCACCTCTGTGTGGTTGGTCAGGAATTCTAAGGGAAAGAAATTTATAAAAGTTACCTTTTTTTTGTCCTCGTAAAGAACCTGAATGTGAGCCATTGATCTTTAATCCTTTACTATATATTTGCGTGTATCCTGTACAAAAAAGAAATGTTTGAAGTTAACTGTCTTATTCCTTGTTCTGAGTCGAAGACGCAGAGAAAAGGCTGTATTTGATGTTGTTCTGTTGCAATAGACTTGACTTGACTGCTGTTACTTACCCGGTGATTTAAACATGTGCAATGAAGGGGCTTGGACTGGATGCTGAAGGGAGATCCCATTTCCACGGCTGCTTCTGATCTAGAATGGCAGCCTCTGATGCAAGCTAAAGCTGATCTGATTAAACAGAGTGCCTGCAACAACAACAACAACGCCACCATATCTAGTTCAAGTTACGAAGACGCTCTGTACCTCAGTTCCTTTGCGTCTTTGAACTCAGGACTAGACCAACAAAACAGACGTTGCTCTCTGTTCCTGAATCCTCTCCTTCCCATGGAGAATCCCGAGCCCCAGAAACCCAGGAGATTCATTGACGCTTGGTCTAATGCTGAAACGGTGGAAAATAATAATGGCAACGCCAGCAAAAGCCCTGTTTCGTCAGATGCTAAACTATCCCTTTCTTCTCTTGATCTATCAATGGGTGGTGGTTCTGTGGTGGATGCGGAAATGGGTTCTATTCATATGGGTTTAGGCCTAATGGAGCCCAATGGAAACACAGAAAATGGCAACAAAACCCATCTTTCTAATTGGCTCACTCCTGCTGCAACGTGGGCGGGTTCCACACCTGGGGGGCCCCTAGCTGAGGTTCTAAGGCCAAGCACTGTGGCTCCGGCCACCGAGGGGGCATCCAACCCGCCGTCTCCGGTCATAACAAATGCCGAATCTGGCAGTCCCCTGGCAACAATGGTGTCATCTCCATCTGGGGTTTTGCAGAAAACGCTGGGATCCATGTCTGATTGTAGTACCAATAGTAGCCCAACAGTGGCGTCTCCAAGGGCCAATTCTGAGTTTGCCTTGCTCTTGTTCAATAAAGCAATTTAGGCCTTTTAGTTGAAGTTCTTAATTTGGGATGATATCAAATATTATGTAATCTTGATTTGTTTGGATATTTAGGTAGCATAAAGATTTTCTGGGTGTTTTGTATACTCAATCTGCAACTTGTGCTCGTGTTAATGTGAAGAAAGCTGTGTTCGGTTTTTTCTGGTCGGGATGATATCTGTTAGCGGACTGTTCTGTGGGGTTGTTTTTGGTTAGGGTCCGGTCCGGGGGCCCTGTCAGTAGACTGGGTCAATTTGCTGTTTCATCCCCCCGCCTCATGGAAAGTTATCTCCCGCAATATTTTCGCTTCTCAGTTTTCTTTTTTTGGCCCCCACTATTACGAATTACCAATTAGCTAATCCAAGCATCGAATCTTCTTTCCTTCTCTGGCTAACCCAAGCCTTTAAACTCTGTTCTAAATGTGGTAACTAGATTATTGCTCGTTACTTGCAATGTAAACGTGTCACTTCTTAAGGCCATTGGGTAATACGTGTCAACCTTGACAGCGGGGTTGGATATATTGAAATCTGCAAACAGTTCTCTCCGTCGCTTTTGTTCTTTATCTTTTGCACGAAACCAAAGAAGTGGCCACAGACGGGGCGTGTCAAGGACTTGGTACCTGTGGTGCTGCCAATGGCCAAAGGAGAGAAGGGTACGTTGCAATTTCAATTCTTTTAATGGAGCTACTGCCATTTCTTTTTTACTTGGTTATTTCCAGGGAGACACAAACTATCCCTAACAGCTTCAAATTGGGTGATCAATTCATGCCCAAGGCCAAGCCTCTAGAAAATTAGATGCCCTGTTCTAGGAGAATCACGAGGGTCCCATCATCCTCGTAAATTTACCAAAAAAAAAAAAGGTATCAAGGAAGCTCGAGACCCCCATTTTCTTGAAATTTTGAAATTATTAATATCAATGTTGATCATGCCGCACGTTTTTGCACCCGCACAATGCTCCATTCCCGAATATGAGTAATTTATTCGTGATGTTGGGAACACAAATGGTTTAAAATACTCTCCCATGAGCATGAGGGAGATGATAACTATTGGGAGTTGCGTTGTAATAGTATCCGTCTAATAGTTTGAGGAAATTAAAGTAAACCAAGGCTTATATTTTAATTATTTCTGGTCTGCAGATGATGAAATCAATAATTTTGACCCATGCTTCATGCTTGTTATCTCTTTTTCCTCCCCATAAAACCTTTCTTGAAAACTGCGGATTAAAGAGCCCGTTAAGGCATAAGTTTAGCAACGCTATATGCCTAAAGTTGGAACCAATACCATCTTCTGCAAAAGGCTGTAAAAGAGGAATATGAATGCGAACACAAAAATACCCCACCTCCATCCTCATTTAACAAGATAAGAGCCAAAAAAGAAAAAGATTCTATTGACCCTGTTCTTTTCTAGTCGCTGAATGGGTCTCCATACTATAGAGGAACAGAGCATCCTCCTTTGCACCTCCACATTTATTGCCATCAACCTTCAACCTTGCTTTGCTTGTTGGACGATGTGATGCCATTGAAGACAGATTAATGCTAGTTAACTAAGTAAAGAAAATTTTCCTGAACTGCTAAATTGAGAAATTAGCTGTCTGCTTAAGGTTCTACATTTTGAGCTAAACAATGTTGGACAAAGAAATACTATTTTAATCAAATATTTGAGCTTTATAGTGTTGCTGCTTTTGTGGGCTTGAAGTCCTCTGCCTGGGTGCACTCAATGAGCGAAGTCGAGCCTTGGCAGAAGCAGTGGCAGCCATATAGTTAGGCACTGAACCATCATGCATTGAATATATGGACTTGGTGGTGCAACGAGGACCACTAGCTGAATGCACCTGAAGATGCTGCTTCGTCTTTCTTGGTGATGAGGCTTCACACTGGGCTTTATGCACCGGTGAAGACAAAGGAAGGGTATGGCTTCTAAGTGAAGAATTGAACTGAGGCTTATACCCACAAGATGATGACCTCGTGGCATTGGAGTAGGGTCTAAATGTGTCTATTTCAACTATTTTAATAGGGTCTCTTTGATCACACGAAGCTCTACCTGTACTCTCTCTGTTCAAGCTTCTTCTTCTTCCTGTCCATGGATCAGACCATCTAGAGACTTCCTCAGCCTCTCCCTCACTCGCGCTGGGCTCCCCGCGAGTTCTCCATATCTAGTGTCATACACACATATATATAGCAAGAAATTAGCTGGTGTTGTGACACTGAGGATTTGTGAGATTAAGAAACTTAAAAGTAAGGTTCATGAAATTGGCTAACCTGTTGAGAGAAAGCATCAACCAGAGCTTCTTCACGTTTCCAGGCAACTTCCTTCTTTTTCTTAAGAGAAGCTCGAATCTTGTCAACGGTTTGTGCTTCATCATCTCTACACTGCACAAGTTAAACAGTAAATAAATCATCAGATAGAGAAGGGGCGTCTTTAAGAACACATGCAAGATTGAAAGATAATAACACATACAATGGACTTGCTGTCAACTAAATGTGATCCCCATATATTATTAGAGGAATCACAGTCACTTAGTCTGGAATCAGTGCTTCCATGTTGAGAAATCCTCCTAGCTCGTTGTTCACATAGCCGAATTTGAACTCGAACAAGGGCTTGCATGCACTGAAGGGTAAATTTCGCTCTCTGGCGGACATTATGACCTCTCACTAATGCCTGCAGCTTTACTAACCCTTTAAGTGCCCTAAGTGCTCTTCTCGCCTTTCATATGCAAATCAAAACGCACAACAATGAGCCCTCATTCTCAGAGATATCTAGCGATCCACAAAAAAGTAAAGCTTGCTATTTACCAGATAACCTCTGAAGGCTGTTTGAATAGTCGTGGCAGCATGGTGGCGTCTGACAAAGATGGACGACCTTGCAACCCGTACAGCCTCCACGGCTGCCTGAGCAGATGCTACGGCTGCCTGAGCAGCCGCTGTAGTTGCCATGGCTACTGCAATTGCGTGCCTTTGCGGATCAGCGTCAACTACTTCAGAAACATTACTACTTGTTGCTGTAATATCACCAGTAGTGGTTTTAGTTCTTTCCTCAGAAAGCTGAGTGACTACTGTTTCTTGACCCAACGGCTTCCTGAAAATCCATCTTCGCTTTCCCCTCCTCTGCATTATACATAGAGACGCAAACGAAATCATCCACTTTGGTTCGTACTTACTCAGTTATTACAGCGTATGCAGAAAGTAGAAAGGGCACAAAAGCATAAGAGTGTTTGAGGTTGTACCTTTTCCTCCTCCTCCTCCTGTTCGGGTTCTTCTCTTCTCCTGCTACTGCTTCTCTTATCGGTTTCTTTTGTTGGGGACCGGAAAGCCCTTTTAACTGCAGTCAACCAAGAGCTTGCTCCTGCCTTCCCCATGAAAAATAAAACAGCCTCACCAAAATCTATATCTGCATATATATATATATATATATATATAAATTGGGCTGAACCAATTCTTTTGCTGCTTCTCTGGCTTTGATGAGTAGTTGGTTTCTTTAAATGCAACATGCAGGGAGATCAGAATGATGAGGGTAAAAAACAAATGATATTAGTCGTTGCTTTTGATAACTGAAATAAAGTCAGTCTGCGGCATGTGGGTTATAGCCAGTCCATGCATTTGGGAACAGCGGCGCCCTGCATTATTATGTATGCATACATAAGGTTTTTATCACTTTTGCAGTAAATAATGCTTAAAACTTTGGTGTTTTCTGTGGCGTGTTTGATAATGGTGCTTTGTGCCAGTGGTTCGAGACAAGCTTCAAAGTGAGAAAGTACTCTCGAAAACGCAGAAAGCTGAAATGCTCACAGAAGGAAAGAGAGGGGAGGTGTAGTTTATTCTATTCCGCTTTCAAGAAATTAAGGATAGTCATTAACGATCCAAGTAACCTAATACTCTCTCTCTCTCTCTCTCTCTCTCTCTCACACACACACACACACAACCGTGCACACATATAATCACTGTATTCTAGATTATTTAAGACGTTTGCGTATATAAATGATCAATAAATTTTAAAACTTTAATGTTCATGATATATAATATATAAATATTTATAAATAGAGTAAGTAAGAAATTTTTGTAAATACTGACGATCCTTAATGCTATCAAAGTAATCCAAGTGGAAGAGTTGAAGGTTGGACGATAACTGCATGAGATCCAGAAGCGTTTTTATTTACGACAAAGACACTGACAGTTGATACAGTCAATATATCCTCCTCCAAACAGGAAACTTTTGTTGGCGGAAACTTTATTTTTGATTCGTAATAATTGGAAGATACGGCAGGGCCTTGGACCAGTCAAACTTCATTGGATTCTCCGCCCAGGTTTTCTTTCTCTGACGTGGCCACTAAGTAGTAGTGAGCAAGCTTTCATATTTATTTGCTGGCGAGTTCATGACAAGTGATAGAGCTTCCAGTGAAACATCAGCGTACGTACAAACGAAACATGATGAAAACCGATGCGTGCGTTGTACAAGAAAGCCACAGCCATAATTGAATCCTGAGTTATTATATGTGCTTTTAACTTTTACACATGTTTGTGATTCATATAGCCAGCAGAGCCTGCCTGATTGCCTGTAATTTTTTTGAGGCCTCTCTTGCGGTCAAGCGTTCTGTGGCCACTTCAGCAGCACAAGCCAAGCCAACTCTTATCACTTCGGCCACACACTTCTCTGCTTTGCGCTGGCACAATGTGAAACTAGAACTATTATAGCTGTCACTAGTGCTGCCTTCACTATGAAAACCAGGGCTTGGTGAGCTTTGTGTTGTTGACCATTCAAAATCGTTAAAAAGCTTTGGATCAACTGCATTCAGTATTTGTTTCTCGTCCATGGCTGACACAAACTCTTCTAGACATAAACCTTCCTTGAACATCTCATCAGTTGGCTTCTTTCCCATGAACATCTCGAGCAGTAAAATCCCAAAACTATAGACATCTCCGGCGGTCGATGCCTTGCCACCCAGACCGTATTCTGAAGCAAGTTACAAGAACGTTAGAAAATTTGAAGGACGTTAGATCATTGTTTTTAGATAAAATATTACGATGATGGTTTCCTCGTACCTGGTGGAATATAGCCGACGGTACCCTTCAGTCCTAGAGTGACAGACTCCAGTGAATCCTGTGAAAGAAGCCTTGCAAGTCCAAAATCTCCAAGATGGGCTACCATAGTTTCATCTAACAAGACATTACCAGGTTTCAGATCGCAGTGGACTACTGGTGGGTCACAGTCATGGTGTAAATAGTCCATGGCGTTAGCAATATCTAAGGCAATATTCAATCTCTGCAAGAAAGTCAAGGAGGACCCTGATTCTTCGTCCACTGGGTACAACCATGTGTCCAAACTACCGTTGGTCATGAATTGCATAACCAAAGCTTTAAAGTCATCACCTTTGTAATCAATACCCGAACAAGAAGTGATGAGCTTCACGAGGTTCCTATGCCTGACGTTCTTCAAAGCTTCACACTCTGCAACGAAACTCTGGGAAGCCTCGCTTAGTTTCAAGTCGAGTACTTTCACGGCAAGAGTAGTTTCACTGTGGCTGATGCTGAAAAGACCCTTGTAGACGGAGCCAAACCCCCCGTTTCCTATCAGGTTTTCAGATGCAAAATTGTTTGTGGCAGTTCGAATATCCGAAAAGGATATATGTTGAGGAAATCCCTTCAGAGGGGACATTGAAGAACATGTTTCATCATCCTTCTTTCGAAAACATTTCATCCACACTAAGCAAATGGAGACGCATAAAATAGAGGCACTTGTAAGTGCAAGTATAAGAGGGAGTAAAAATCTAGTGTGCGTTTTACCTTTGACACAGAAAGTGATTCTCAATCTTTCCGCAACTTCTTTGTTAGGACTGCAAAGCTTGCCGTTTCCTTGCAGGGTAACCTGGGTGAGGTTCGTAAAAACACCTTTCTTGGGAACTTCCCCTTCCAAATGGTTAAAAGACAAATTCAACTTCACCATGGGGCGAAGCTTTTCCAAAGTCGATGGGATGGGACCTGTGAGGTTGTTTGAAGATAAATCCAATGTTTCCAATGACGTTAAGTTCCCCAAAGTACTCGGTATTGGACCACTAAAGTTGTTTCTTGCTAATTGAAGCATCAGCAAGCTTGTGCAACCATCTATTTCTTCGGGAATATATCCGGTCATGAGATTGTTAGACAAGTCCAAGAACTGAAGTTGCTGCATGGAGCTCACTTCAAAAGGGAGGGATCCGTGTAGGGTATTCCCTGCCAAGGACAAGGTGGTTAAGCTAGAAAGCGTAGAAATGCCCTCTGGTATGGTCCCATGAAGGTTGTTCATTTGAAGATTCAAATAGTTCAACCTTTGACACTGTACAATGCTGGAGGGAATTTTGCCAAACAACTTGTTATTGTGCAATGCAAGGGTAGATAGTTGAGTCAAATTGCCAAACATGTCTGGGATTTCTCCAGATAACTTGTTTTTGTACAAAAGAAGTCTCTCCAGTTTGTTTAATGCTCCCACGTCTCTTGGTATCTCTCCAGTGAAATGATTTACTTCAAAAGATAGGGACACAAGGTTTTGAAATTTTCCTATGTCCTGAGGGATGCTTCCGCTGAATAAGTTATGGGATACACAAAATTGTTCTAGAATGGTTGAAAGATTTGCTACGGATTTTGGAAGCTCCCCAGCTAACTGATTAGAGTCGATCATCAGAATTTTCAGCGTCGGGCTATTTCTCAGGGAATCAAAGAACTCAGAATTTTTTGATGTTCCAGAAGAGAGTTGATTGTTGCTAAGAATTAGCCTGGTGAGATTGCTCATGTTGCTGAACAAGGGAAGGTCTCCATGAAATTCATTGTGAGAAAGATCAATTTCTTGGAGATGTGAAGCATTGGATATGGAATTAGGAATCACACCGCCAAATGCATTGTTTGCCAGATAGAAACCTCTGAGATTTGGAAGAGAACGGCCTATATGTTGTGGTAATTTTCCTGAAAGATGATTTTGTGTTACAGATAAGAAGGTCAACGAAGAGATGTTGAAGATAGAAATCGGGAAATCCCCGGAGAAATAATTCTCAGAGAGTTGAAGATGAGAAAGATTATGAAGATTGCCCAAATCGCTTGGAATCTCTCCAGAGAGATGGTTTCTTGCCAGGGAAAGATTATAGAGAGAGGAAAAGTTTCCAAATTCAGGAGGGATTTGACCAGTGAGATTATTCAAAGAGAAGTCTAGAACTTGAAGGTGGCGTAGAAGGGATAATTGGGAAGGAAGTGTGCCACTGAGATTGTTTGCAGCTAAGTTAATCACATTAAGAAGAGAAAGATTTGAGAGCTCCAAAGGAAGATGGCCCTGGAATGCATTATTGGAAAGATCAAGTGATTGTAAAGAACTGAGGTTAAAGAGTGAAGAAGGTAGATTACCAGAAAGGCCTAGTCCTGGGAGACTAAGAGATTGAACTCTGTTGGTGTTTTTGGAGCAGGAAACTCCATGCCAAGAGCAGATAGAGGAATTAGAATTCCAACTAGAAAGAGAATCCTTTGTGTCAGCGACTTGGGATTTGAATGAAAGAAGGGCATCTTTGTCATCACAGAGGATGTGATGGAAGTAAAGTTGGAGGAAAAGGAGAAATAATGCGAGAGGAATATGAAATGTCTTCTTCATGGGTACAAGCTAAGCTTCAGATTCTGCATGGCTCATCAATGGCGGAGAGAATGCAGATATTTATGGATGAAACAGGGCTCTGACTTAGTTATGGATCACATTAACGTATACTAATAACCCCAATCATCACTTTTGTCCCCTGCCTCGTTTGTGGTCAAATGTATTATTCTACTTCTTCTTCAGATTATATATATATATATATATATATATATATATATGAATCCTATTTTTAGCCTACTTTGACCCAAAATTTAAGTCCAGTTTAATAACATGTAAGAGTGTTTAATATTTTTTTCTATGTTATCCTTATATACACTTAAGCTTTATATATAATTAGTGCAGTATTGGCTTTTCACAATAGTGTATTTAAAGAATTTTATAAATTTTTTAATATATTTAATAAAATAACGTGTTTTTAACTACTCTATTTTTTTTCTCTACATATGATAGTCAAATAGAAAGAGTACAAGTAGAGTATTTGAAGGTGACACCAGTGACTTCCAGAAGTGGCGGAAATTTCTGAAATAATGAGATCAATGAAAAATAATGGAACTAAAGAACCAATATTCAAATTCAATAATAGGTGCTTATAATAAAGACAGATGTAGTACAGTTGACACGAGAGATTTTCAAATTGAGAGTAGACCAGCAAGCAAATGATAGAATATGATAAAATATTAACTTAATAATGGCGTATAGTTTGGATTGAATATATATACTCCTCCGATCCTTAATATAAGACTCATTTAACTAATTTGATTAGATTAAACAAGTTAGATAAGTTAGTTAATTATAAAAAATGTGACACGTTTTTCCTAAAACACCATAATCATTTTTTTTAATACCCCATCTCCTTCTTCTACTTAATTATGATTGAGGGAGTATCCATGGGGGTAATTTAGAGAAAATTGATAAATATGAGAAATAGATCTTATATTTAGACCAAAACCAACTCAACAATTAGGTCCTATATAAAGACCGGAGGAGTATTTGGTCACAGTAGTTGAGTAGTTTTCATAAAGACCAAGTCAGGCATTGACGTTGATGAATAATTATGTCAAAGTAAACGTAGTTTGGTGCGGAATTCCTCATTTTGACTAATCAAATAATCAAGAATAGAAATAAAAACCGTCAAGTATTATTAGTTCAAAGTAAAATGTCCAAATAAAAAAAAATCATCAAATATCATCAATTTTGTAATAGCATCTGGTGTGGAATTGGTCTCATTTTGACTAATAATGAATCAAGTATAGAAATAACGCGTTTTCCTGATGATATGGGAGTGTCCACAAATATATAGCCCACAAGCATGTGTGGATCCTCATGATTAATGATCATGAATATGAAGAGCAGGAACATGATGTGGTCGTCGTCATTTTCTTCTGTTCTGGCAATAACGCTCTTCTTACTCCTCCTCTTCTGCAACCATCTCCTGGTTTCTGCTAATCCCAAACTTGGTTCGTACTCCTTTATTTATTCATCCATGACATCAAATAACAGTCTTTTTGTTAATTAGTTAGTTAACTAACGGTGAATATATATATATATATATATATATATGAATGGTGGCAGGACGAAAACTCTCACAGGTTCCCGATCCGGCTGGATCGTACAAGGTTTACCCAGGTGGAGGAGGATACCCAAGTCCGTAGCCATCTAGCAGCAGTCACTATATATGGCGAATTATTAATTAATAAAGTGAGATCCCATTTGTCTTGAAATGTAAGACTCATTTTGTAGTGTAAATTATACTATAAAATGTTTTATATTTAGGATTGGAGGAGTTCCGTATTATTAGATGAATGTTAGTTTTCATTATCTATATATCTTCTTTTACCCCCCCCTCTCTCTCTCTGGGAAATTCTGTATTAGGGTAAGATGCAAAAAGTGATTGGTACTTGAACACACAGAAATACTTTTAAAAACCACTTTTCTGTAAATCAAGATAAACTTTTCTATATATTTACTTCATATATTATAAGATCACCTTTAAAGTCATGGTTTAGTTTTTACTCAAACACACACTTGCTCAAAAATTTAGATATGGTTGGCGCAGATATATGTTGTCATGTTTCTTTGACGTGTAGCCGTTGTGTGTTTCTTTGACGTGGCGCAGATATAGTTTGTTCAATCACAGGGTCAAAATTACTAAATGAATGCTTAAATAAATTTTAAGGAACCACACGGTTTTGGCATTTAAAATTGATTACGGAGTTCATCCAAACAGGCATGGTGAATTTTATAATTTTGGTGAACAGTACGGGGCCTAAGCCCATCTCATTGCTCAAAAATAACCCGTAGTTGAGCAACCCTACAATGTCCCTGTACAACAAGCTACTCACTTCTGCAGCCAAAAAAAAAAAGATCCTCTTTCAAAAACATTTAAAACCTTACTCATCTCTAAGCTAACATTGGCAAGGCATTCTGCACAGATATTGCCTTTCCTGTAAACATGTTGAAAGCTCACCTGCTCAAACATATCTGACTCAACATTTATATTTTTTAGCAAACTAGAATCAGCCTCTCTATCATCTAAAAACCTATGCAAGATATTTATAAGAGAAATGGAATCACAATCAACAATCAAACACTTAATACCAGATTCACTGGCAATTCGATCTTAAACCTGTGATGACTCCCCAAATTTCAGCCTTTACAGCAGAGCATGAGCCCCGCTTCTTGGAGAAATCTTTGAGCCATCTTCCATTGCAATCATAAATAATCAGGCCGCCACAGCCTGCAAAAGTATTTGATCCCCTACCTGCTCTGCATCCATCCCACCCTTGGCATCTCCCATCTAATATTCCTCTCCAAAACCAGCAAAGTTTCGTTTACATAATGATTATAATAAGCATGTTGGGGTTCTCTGCCCATCTAAACCCATCTTCAAACATACTCCTATTCCTCCAACTTCATGACAGCCAACAAGTAAAGCCACACACAATCACTTTCCTTTCTCTCTCTTCTAAGGGTGTGTTTGGTATGAGGGATTTGGGTGGGAGGGAGGGGAGGGAAGGGAAGGGATTTTAATGATTTCCCCTTGTTTGGCAACACACAAATTTTAGGAGGGGACAGAAAATTTTTTAAAATTTCCCTCCCTTCCCTTCCTCACCTCCCCTCCAAAATTGGGAGGATTTGGAGGGAAAGGGCAATATTTTGTTATATTATGACCATTATGCCTATATTTTGTCATGTTATGACCATTATGTCTATATTTTGTCATGTTATGACCATTATACCCACGCCTTAAATAAAATAAGAGCAAAATTGTCCATATTAAAATATTTTTCCCTCCCCTCCCCTCTTTTTTTATAAATTCAAACAAGATAATATTAAAATCCTTCCCCTCCCCTCCCCTCCCCTTCCTTCCATTAAACTCCCTCCCCTCCCCTCCCTCTCATTGAGCCAAACATACCCTTAAAGACCACCTGAACCAGTCTTTATCACCAAAGATATAAAAATCTTAATTTAAATCAGATTCGTCCAAGTGATTCCATACCCTTCTTGCAATGCTACAATCTCTCAGAACATTCATAAGAGACTCTTCCTCGTTATTGCACCTGTAACAGAGAGCATTTCCACCCAACATATGGTAAATTTTATTTTAATGCATAATATTCATTTAAATAATCTTTTATTTTTGAAAAATAGAAACATAATATAAATGAATAAGTTGCAGAATTTAAATATAAATAACCATAGAAGATCCAGATCGGAAAAAAATTATAAAAACCAGCATAATTTCTTTTAACATTAGAGTCTGTGCAAATGCCAATCTGAGGATGTAATAAAACTAATAATTATAATTGTTTCACAACAAAAGGAAAAATTTCCCTCTGGCTACAACAAAGTCACACATCAAATCTCATAGGTTTTGGACGCATGCGATCACCTACAATACTTTCAAAGTTTTTCCACTGTTTATCTATAATTATCATTAACACATGACTTTTACAAAATTTATCCAAAACTAAATTCACGCAGGCAACAAGCCTAGAGATAGAACAATCTCAGTGTCATTCAAATAGCTCTAAAAAGCTATAGAAGAGAGCACTACCACACAGATAAGCTCGCTAACAATATTAAAATAAATATAATGTGTTCGTGTTTCTTTTTTTTTTGCCCCTCGTCCATATGTACATTCTTTGAATAACCTTCAACTCTGTCTAATTTGATGGAACTGAGAACAACGTATTTTTTAAAATGTAAATTGTTCCTTGACTAGGGACATGATCATGTCGGTGGGAAATTAAAGCGATCTCCACCACATAAAATCATTGTTGATAGGTAAAGCGAGTCTATAAATAGCAGTTATTATGTTGATTTAATGCCCTCACAACACTGAGCATGGGAGTGATGAAGAAGATGAAGTCATTTACTTGTGATTAATGTACTGATTCAACAAAAGCTAGAATTTAGGAATCTAAAGCTTACTATTCACTCTACAAAAAAGGAAGGAAAGAAAGAAAGCTTACTATACCAATGTTAAGAGCTTCTCACATCTTTAGGAAGCAAGTCTATCGTCTTAAAGCAAGCATCAACATTATATGTGTGTGTAATGTCTAATGTCTTGTAAATATTGGCTTTTTTTAAGTACATGATAACTTACAATTGTCCCATCTAACAATATTACGATCTCTTCATTATCATCAAGAATACTTATCAAATGATGGCTTCTCTAGTATTTCTTTCTTGATACTAAGAGATTTCATAAAGTCATTACGTATATAGTGTATTAAATTAATACATCAAATATAAGAAATTTAATCTAATTATGGTCCAACTATATGTATGCATACACATCGATTAACTCTCAATTAAGTAAGTAATTCACCAGTGCGGTTTATTTTGGCATTAGTGTGATGGTGAGATATGGATCAATCTAATGCAGATATTTTAATTTCCTGCAACTCGCATGACGACACAAGCATTCATGGGCCGTAACTCCTAAGGGTCGAATGAGGATGCATGACGAAGTAGGTGATTTGTTTTAATTTAACCAAAAATAATGATAATAAAAAAAAATCAGAAGTTGTTTTCTAATTAAGCACAAGTGTTGAAATTAAATGTTAATGTTTAAAAACATCCTTCGCAATCAAACTCGATATATCTGAGACAAGGATGCTGATGCCTTTAGCATGAAAAATTAGTAAATTTATTTTATAAGGAATAATTTCACTGCTAAAAAAATCAAACTTTTTAGAGATTGAATTTAGTTTTAAATATAAGATTTCAATTCACTTTATCTTCTATATTTTTTCTAAAATATTAATTCCTATTAATTATAAAATATGATTCTCATCAAGGGATAATTCCAATCACACGCACATGATTGAAAATGATAGTTTAGGAAGACCAGCACATATTTATGACAAATAACCTACTTAACTAATTTTTTTAATATCCTAAAATTTGTTATGTAACTCGTATATATTTCAATAAAAATAATGGGTTCATGTTTTCTTTTGTTTTTTTTTTTTAATTCCCTCCGTCTCTGTATGTGCATTCTTTGAATCTTTAACGGAGCCAAATTGAAAGCTTCGTGTGTTTTAAAATGTACATCAGTCCTTGGCTAAGCACATGATCATGTCGCGGTGGGAAAATGGTCCCTATCATTCGGAGTTGACGGTGTACGGTGGAGGAAGCCAATAAAAATAAAATATATGGAAGAAGAAAGACTCAATTTGGGTTCATGCCCAAGAAGAATTTGAAAATTGATAATAAAATATGTAAGAAGTGTTGTTGATAATTAATGCGAGTCTATAAACAGAGGTTGTTATATTGACAGCCTCACCACACATGTTCAAGGTCGATCACTACGGGAGGGTTGAAGATGAAGTCATGTGCTTCTGTTCTGGCAATAACACTCTTCTTGCTCATCACCCTCTGCAACCACCTGGCTTCTGCAGATTTCAAACTCGGTATCACTCCTCTTGCTTCCCTAGTTCCTTCATTTTATAGTTTTCATTTATATCTATATGTTTTGTTTAATTTACATATATATATATATATATATATATATATAGACACACAAACACACACACTGAGCGCAGGACGGAAACTTTAATTTCGCAGTCGTGCACAGCACTCCCAAAACACCCTCCCGGAGGAAACTGATGTCGCACAAAGCCATAGTTACTTTATGAATCATAGGTCATAACTAGTTTTAAGGTTTTAATGCAATTCTGGTTCAGCTCATATGTGTGATGTGTCCGTAGCTTAATTATGGTGTCCGTCCAGAAGGTAGTCTGTTATATATCTACCTTTCTCAGTTCAAAATAAACCTTCTGGATATGTTTCTTACTTTGTGACTGTGCTCCAAGTTTCTGTATCGCACCCACTGGCCACTTCTGCACGTTTAATAATTACTTGTTCCTTATAATATATATATATAAATTGCTACTCCTTGCTAATCCTTGTAGTACGTATCTGTTGTTCATAATATAAAAATTATTTGAAAATTAGATTTAGTTCTAAATATAAAATGTAAATTTATTTGGTCTATTAAATTTTTAATTTTTTCTCCAAAATATCCTTAATAAGTAAGGGCTTCTTATGAAAGAATAATTTCAATATAATGCACATAATGAAATAGAATAATTTAAGAAAGCTGACACACATTTGTTACAAATGACGAATTTCATTAACTAATATTTTTAAATTAGTTATCCAGATTTTTTATTAAATGCATGAGGTAGTATTTTGAAAATAGGGTCTTTTGAGATATGCATGAGACAGAACAGAAACGACATGGAAAATTGCTCGATATTTCAATTAAACAAAGATATTTAGAAGGAATATCAAAAGATTATACCATCGAAACTAGGATTGGTTTAAATTGAGGTCCTTATCTTCTTATATATTTGATGAGTCCTAAACTTCTAATGAATAAGTAAAAAAAAAAAATTTAAATAACCATAGAAGGTCCAAATTGATTTTTAAAA